GTTAGGGTGAAATTTTTGAATTCTGGGGTAGATTTAAAAGGTATTTGTGGCTTTTCTAGTCTGATTGGGACATTTACGGGTGGGGCTCACAGTTCCATAGGGCAGAGATTTTATGGGCCCTTCCCCCTGCCTGTGCTGAATTAAATAATACAGGTCAGTGTCATTTGGCTTGCTGGTTAAAGGAAGACAATGGGCCCTAGAATCTGTAAAGGTTGGCTGGAATGAAGCTGGTCAAATGTACTGAAAGGGTTCGGTACCTGTTAGTGCTAGCAGAGGAGGGGTTGATATCCCCTTCCAGTGCACTCCCTTGGGAGAGGCCTAATTGCTTCTCTGTCACAGGGACAGGTATGATGGCAGGGGCCTGGTAACCAACCCATGGCCACAGGAGCGCTTTGTAACATGCAGGGCGTATTTCCCCTGGCCAGCTAAGGGCTGCTGGCCCCCACCATACCACCATTGCTGGCTGGAGGCAAGCGCTTTTTCCCAGTGGGAAGAGAGAGAAAAGGGCTGCCAGATGAAAATGCCTCTCCCCCTGTGGCGGGAGCACCTCCACTGGTCATCTGGTAACCTGCGCCAAGCTCCCTGCTTCCACCTATCAGGCTTCCACCCATCATCTCAGGAGCCCTCTGCTCACCGGGGTTGTAATTGCCTCTCATCTACTGAGGGGTTATTTTGAGTAGGCGCGAGGACGGAAATTTCCCTGTGCCTCCTTGTGCCTCCCTGCACCCCAATGTGACCCAAGGCCTCCTCGGACGCTTTTCACTGTGTTCTGTTGGGGGTTCGAGGGGTGGGAGGGGGGCTTAAAAGGCAGCAGTTAGAAAAAGAAACTTTAAAAATTAGAAAGATTTGGAGGAATGAATCTGTCACAGCTGATAGAGGTAGCCCAGAAAGTCTTTAACAATAGGGACACCCTGGAGGAGAAGCAGGACAACTGAATGACTAAGGCAGAGGCAGCTGCATTAAGAGAAACGGGCACCAAGACAAAAGGAGAAGGGGAATGGAAAAAGGAAAGAAAAGGCCAGCAGCAAAGTAGGAAGGAATTAGTATGCCTATTGTAGGAAGTAGGGGCACTGGAAGAGAGAATATCCTGGTAGGTTAACAAAGGAAAGCGGAAGGCTGAGGGAAAATTCCAGGCTCTGAAGGATTTACACTCAGGGAATGGGACTAATAGGGCCAGGACTCC